TTCGTTGTTGGTGGTGTTATTCGTATGTCCCATTTTATTCGTGGTCCGGTTCTTTTTGGTTGTACCCCTGTTTTCTCTCGGCTGTTTGTGGCGGTCGGTGTTGTAGTCTTGGTGGCCCTTGTTGCTTCAATACCCCACTCGACTGCTCTTATTGACGGTTTTTGGCGCTTCTTGCGCGTGGGTGATGTCAATCCCATTAAAGCGCAGCGCTTTCTTTCCGTTGCTAATGTCGTTGGATGTATCTTGCGGCATGGTATGGCTGATGTTGGTCTGTTCCCATTCTTCATCTCTTTGGGTAGCCGTTTCCCTGGTGGAATGACCCTTCCCTCTGGTGTTTCGTCCTCCTGTGGCAGGATGCTGTCCCACAGAGCTTGAGCCTCAGCCTCGCTCCACGTAGCTAAAAGCTCCACGATGGTTTTGTTTACATTGTCCATACTTTTCGCTGCGTTGCTACTTAGTAATCCTCTCGTGACTCGGCTCCTAGTTTATATTTCCTTTTAGCTACCTTACGTCCCATGCTCTTGACTTCCCCTTTTTTTCTTTGTTATGATCCGTTGTTCTGGTTTATTTATTTTTCCAATGATACTGGTAATTCGGTTTTGTTTACTTCTCTCACTCTTTTAATTCTTCCGGATTGATGAGAATCCACCCGCCAGTATTCCCCGTCTATGTACCTATGATAAATTAGGGAAGATGCTGACGCGTATTGCGGAAGTTCGAAGCTGCGGCCTCTTGAAATATTAACTACTTGTTTACTGTTACTAAGCGGCTTGGTATATACCGGTGTTTTCCCTTCTGGGTTTTTGTTGGCTTGCTTGCCATTATTGCAAGCCTCCGCTTGCACGCCTTCTGTAATTGTCTGCGTTAATTTTGGTACGTTTGAGACCGGTGGTTTATTTTCGGCTGGTGGCTCCCAGCTTTCCAACCAATCCAATAGTTGGATACCAAACGGTTTTGACATCTTGTTACTGCTGATGTAGCTGCTGTACCGACTATCAATCTACTCATCCTTTTGCTGCGAGATCTTCCATTTTATTCCTGGTTTTCGTTTACCCCCTCCTTATCGGCTGTTACGTCATCCAGGTCATTCTCTGTTTTTAGGTCCTGTATATGTACTTGTTTGTACCATTTTTTATTTTTGTCCTGTAAATCTACTATTACCGGAGATATTATTCTTCTTACTGTCATAGGACCCAAAAATTTTGGCGCAAGTTTCGCATTTATTGCTTTTTCCTTGCTTGAAAGCGCATGGTTCCGTTTCCATACCACATCGCCTATTTTTGGTTTCCAGTTTCTTTTCCGCAGGTTGTAGTATTTCCCTTGCTTCTAAAATGCCCTGGCTAAATTTATCCGTACTAATTCGTATGCCGATTCGAGTCGCTTTCCTATTTCGCTTGGTACTTGTGACTCTCTATGCTCCCTTTCACGGAAATGCGGTCCAGGCAGTTCTCTGCCTGTATTGAGATACGCGGGTGAAAAC